AATATTTCTATATATTTATTAATAAATATTATTTTAAATAAATTTATATTAATATTATAATATTACTATTACAAAAAATATATAAATGATTATTATAAAATATAATTACGTAAACCAACATAATAAATGTATTTATTAAATAAAATATATTCATTTATTTGCGTTTTATTTATTTGGCGCAAAAAAAGTCACTTAACATTGTGACAGTAGCTGATGTGTTTGGCAGCGACTCACCAGGTGACCAAACGTGCGCAGGGCCATTTCTGAGCCGATCTCCTCACCCATAGCGATGAGAGCGATACCGAGCACCGCCACACCCTGCAGCATCAACATCAGCATCAGAATGAGTCTCACTGACCGCTGACAAACACACAACACAACACACACGCACTCACACGCACACACACTCACTCCCATACACACACACACACACACACTCACTCCCACACACACACACGCACGCACAATCATCACCATCATCATCATCATCATCATCATCACCATCATCACCATCATCATCATCAGCATCATCATCATCATCATCATCATCAGCAGCATCATCATCATCACCATCATCATCACCATCATCATCATCATCAGCATCATCATCATCACCATCATCACCATCATCATCATCATCATCATCAGCATCATCATCATCACCATCACCATCATCAGCATCATCACCATCATCATCATCATCACCATCATCAGCATCATCACCATCATCATCATCATCACCATCATCAGCATCATCACCATCATCATCAGAATGAGTCTCACTGACCGCTGACACACACAACACACACACACACACCTGATGGGAGCCCATATCTGCCGTCGTCTCCTTCTTATCTTTGTCTTTTTTGTCTTTCTTGTCTTTATCGTCGTCTTTGTCCTTGTTGTCGTAGTGTTCGCTGCAGATATGCTGCAGCTGCTGCACCTTCAGCACGTTACCGGAGCCTGAGACACAGACACACAGATGGTTACACTAGGGGTGCTCCGATTGATCGGCTACCGATCACTATCGGCCGATAATCACGGTGGGATGATTGATCGGCGGTCTCTAAAAAGGCCGATCTCAAGCTGATGAGCTGCTGTCAGAGGTTTGGCACGGCATGCAGCGGCACCGTCTCAGTCTCGCGGGTGAAATAATTATAATGCTGAAGGTGAGGTACTCACCTTCATATTTCTCCATTAAATAACTTATAAAGTCATTTGAAAACCTTGTGTGAGACGTAATTTCACAAACGGGTGCCAGAGTGGATAAATCTGAAAACGCCGCCCTTGCGTTTTCGTGTGGACAGCGAATCCGTATATTTTCTGAAACGATGACGTCATCAGCCCACGTCAGACACCGCTACGTCACGTAACAGCAACAAAAACATGAACAAACACTGAACGATTGTCTTTTTATTAACTAACATTAACACAGATTAATATATGTATTGTTCCATGTTCGTTTGTATACCGCGCGCAAGATTTATGCGCATAGTCCAAGTCTTCTTCTCCGTTTTTTGTGTATCTCTGTGGCAGAATTTCAGCGCCACATACTGGTCTGGCATGTATACTACATCGTTTTATGTCGGTTTTGTGGTTTCGTGTGGACGCAGATATTTCTTGAGACGAGGGAAAAAAAAAATTATCGGAAAGAAAAAAAAAAGATCGGATAGGGAAAGCTCTGGCTTAGTGTGGACGTAGCCTAAATGTTTTGCCACTTGCTTGATCAACTTAATATATAAATCTAGAAGTAAATGCAAAAGTAAAAAGCATTGAATAATGTGTTGCTTATATTTATTGTGTTTAAACATGTCTGTTAAAGATTGTACTGTGTAAAAAAAAGAATCACAATGCTGAAAAAGCATTTTCAGTGACAGTGTTTGGATTTGAAATCAAAATAATGAATAAATGTTGTGTTTGTGGTAAACAGCCATG